CCCCCCCCCCCCCCCCCCCCGTTTTTTTTGCTACTGCATTTGTTTTCGTTATGGACGATCTTAATACGGAGCATGCGAAATGGATTCTTTATTTCTGATGTGATGAATAACTAACTTTCTTTGTACGAATGTCACTTTGTCGGCAGGTATCAAGTTGGAGAGACTTTATGAAAGGTGGGAAGAAGGTGAAGAAAGGGGAGATCCGGCCTCCAAAACTCAAAACCGAAGATCCAAACAAGTCTTATGTTCAACGACCAGTGAAGCGAGGTTAGAGTTTTCCTGCAGCACTTGCCAAGTCAAATTCAATGAAAAAAAGAAACGTAATTCCATGTATTTTTTTCGCCGTTAATTGTTATTACAACATAACATAAAGGATTGAGATGTTTTCTGTCAGCACAATGTAAGAAATCCGTTTACCATTGTAATCTTAGTCTAAAATGCAGTATCTGGTGGTTGGCATCAAGCTCTTATCATGAAACTCCAATGCTTCTTTAGGTCATTAGGGCGTGTTTGCTATGTATTTCAGTGGTAATGGAGGAATGGTTCTTGAATAACTTTCACAAAGTATTTGAATGCTGTGTATTATTAGTCCTTGCAAATGTGAGTATTAAATGTGAATTTACTATAGAGCTTGGAACCAAACAGGCCTCTAAATAGGGCCAATAAGCTACTCCACTATTGGGTGGTTTCTTCAACATTTTCAAGCATATGAATCACTAGTTGAGGCTTTCAGCTCTGAATAGGGCATCCATAGTTGAAGAGTTGAAACCTAGTATTGTTATCCACTTCTTTGAAATTCTTAGGACAATCCATTTTCAGTGAATCACCTCTAGCGTGATTTTGTCACGGTGATTTGCATGATATTGTTATGCAAAGTTATACTTCCTCCGTTCCACAAAACCCTTCTGGTTTTGACTTTGGGGAAAAATAAGGAAAATGTAATTTTGGTTGACTTTCCAATTTTGCCCTTGATGTGATGGGAAAAAGTAAGATGTGATAGTTTGGTTATTAATGAAAATGTATGATGTGATAGGTAGGGTATGAAAAAGTAGGGGTAAAAGTGGTTTTTTAATAGAAAGTGGAAGTGTTTTGTGGAAAGCAAAAAAAACGAAATAGGAAGAGTTTTGTGGAACGGAGGGAGTAGATTTCAACACCCCAGTAGAATCCCCCACTTTGCAGGGTTTGGGGAGGGTGTGTGTGCACACAGGTTTCATTCATTCTTGAAAGTAGAAAGATTGTTTTCAAAAGACTCTTGGCTCGAGCAACACAAAAGCATGCAAAGTTATAGGTTAGCCTTGGATTAAAGACTGCCTCATTCAAAGGCTAGTGCTCCACCAATCACTCACCGTACAAGAGAGTGTTTGGCACTGTGTTGCTTTTAATAATTTAACTTTTGCTTTGAGTGAAAGTGGTTTTACATTGTTTGGCATGTCAGCTTCTGCTTTTCACCACCACTATTTTGTACATAGAACACCGTGGTCCAATAGGTCCGGTCCAACACTTTGGACTCTGCTTCGAACCAGTTTCAATCGGTTTGAACCGGTCCGCTTTTTTTTGCAAATTTTTGTGATGTTTTTCCAAAAGCATACACCATGGGGTGTGAATTCAAAATCTCTTAGACATTTAGTTAAGTTTCTAACCATCTAAGTTGGGGTGTTTTATGTTACAAGTTCATTTATTGTTTATAATATTTCATAATTAAAAAAGATTGTCTAAAGATTCCTTTTCAATTTTAAAAAATATAATTGATATAATTGATATTATTACAAAATATATACTTGGTTCGTCCCTGAGTGTTTGTCCACTTTTGACTTTTGGAACTGTTCATTTAAGCACTTTGACTCATCAAATTCTCTCAATGTGTAAGCCTAAAAATAGTCATGTGTGATCTTGTTTGATTCGTCTTAACATATAGATTATTAATATATAATTTTTATAATTTTTTAATATACAAATTACAAGATAAAATGGATTAAAGAAATGCATTGGATGGTGTGCAAAAATGAAAGTGGACAAACACTCAGGAACGGAGGGAGTATTATGCAAATATTTCATTTGAGTATTTTTAATATTAGACAACTTATTTGAAAAAATGAAATCAACTCTTCATTTATAAATTTTTTAACAATTGTTTTTTAAAGATAAAAATTTTATTTTTTAACTTAGTAAAATAACTCAAGTATACTAATACTCGGGTATAATTTTGGTCAAATGTTATAAATTACTTTCTTTAGGTATTTATAAATAAAGGAGTGTGCGTGTCTATATGCATGCATGGCTGGTCTTGAGGATTCATCAGCCTGAGCCAAAACAGAAAAAAGCCCTAAAAGTCTTATCCTTAATGATGTAAAAAATTCACATATGTAAACTAATTATATTTAAATTATAATTAACACAATATTATTCGAAGATAAAATAAATGACAAGTAAAATCAAGAATAAAAACTGAAAAAAGCAAGCAAATAAATAAATGATAAATTAATATCAATTCTTCAATTTTTGTAATTGTTTTTTTCTTTTTCAGTTTTAATTTTTTTTTTATAAATCATAAATTCATATCAATTCATCAATTTATCAGTTCTTATTTTTTTTCCGGTTTTCAGTTTTTTAATATATATATATATATATATATATATATATATATATATATATATATATATATATATATATATATATATATATATATCATTATCATAAATAACAAATTCAAATCAATTCATCCAAATCAAATAAATAACATATAGAACCATTCATTCATCGTGCGGCTCAGATTGCATTCTGCGCTCATATTTTGAGATGGTGCATTTTCAAAGGATTTTGGTGCATTTCGATATGATGCATTTTCGAATCATTTTGGTGCACCTAATTCTGATGCAATCCCGACCCTTAGATCTCACAATCTAAAGCACCAGATTCATTCTCATTTCTCTCCTAAGATCGCATTCTCATCAGAACATATATATATATATATATATATATATATATATATAGATATATATATATATATATAGATATATATATATATATATATATATATATATATGTATATATATATATATGTATGTATATATATATGTGTGTGTATATATGTATATGTATATGTATATATATATATATGTATATATATATATATGTATATATATATGTGTGTGTATATATATATATATGTGTATATATATATATAGGGGGCAGTTCAGGTGAGAATACACCTTGGTGAAAAAATAAGAATAAAATCTAGCCTTTGGATCTGATGCATCGTGCGGCTCAGATTGCATCCTGCACTCAGATTTTGAGATAGTGCATTTTTAAAGGATTTTGGTGCATTTCGACATGATGCATTTTCAAATCATTTTGGTGCACCTAATTTTGATGCAATTCTGACCCTTAGATCTCACAATCTAAAGCACTAGATTCATTCTTATTTCTTTCATAAGATCGCATTCTTATTTCAACCAAAATCTATATATATATATAACTTAAAAAAATTGTGCCCCAAAAATTTTTGGGCCCGGCCCGGACGGACACCTTGTCACCCTATTGGGCCGGCTCTCTATGTATATATGTTTGTATGTATGTATGTATGTATGTATGTATGTATGTATGTTATATGTATGTATGGATGTATGTATGTATGTATGGATGGATGGATGTATGGATGTATGTATGTATGGATGTATGTATGTACATACGTATGTATGGATGCATGCATGCATGCATGATGTATGTATGTATGTATGTATCTATGTAGGCATGCATGCATGCATGCATGCATGTATGTATGTATGTACATACGTATGTATGTATGTATGTATGGATGCATGCATGCATGGATGTATGTATGTATGTATGCATGCATGCATGTGTGTGTATGTGTATGTGTATCTATATAGGTAGATGCCACCACTTAGGTTCTGTTCGTTTGGGTTGTATATACATAGTTAGATGTTGGAAGAAAGTGGAAAAAGATGAAAAAACTGGAAGACGTTGGAACAAATAAAAATTGTTGACATGATTATTATATTTAATGAATTACATATTTTGTTTAAATAATTTATACTATTCTTTTTCAATTTTTTGAATCTCTTTTATTTTCCCTCTATGTCATTATATTTTTGTCCCAAATCATAGTAATATTTGTGTGACTCACACTCACTCTTACTTTTTTACTTATTAAAATTAATGTCAGTCATATTATTTTTAGTTTCTTAACTTGGACGTCATTAATCTATGTAACAAAAATAAGGGGTCTAATGAAGCAATACTTTTTATGAATTTTAGTTTAAAGTAAAAATGGACTTAAATAATGTAAGAATGTCTCAACTAAACAAAAATAATTCAACATTGCATTTTATATATCAAAACAAAAATAATAATGATGTGGGACTAACAATGTTAATTTTGCATTACAAATAGAAAGGACTGATTTCACATGATTTATATTTTTTTTCTATGCTTATGCAAAAGAATGATTTTAATAAGACAAAAACACAAGATATTTTTTAATTTAGAAAAAAAAGGAGTTAGGAAAATGTTTGAAAATAAGAGCTAGAATCTAGAAGAACATAGCCTTAACCCTTCGGTGTAAAACTTGTTCACGCTTTTAGTATGTGTAAAACTAGCCTTTTTCTAGCCCCACAACTCTTTTATCTTTCTATTAAAAATTATTTTTATCATTACTAATTACCCTACCTATTACATCATAGTTTTTTTACTAATAATCTAACAATCACATCCTATTTTTATTCATCACAAAGGGTATCTTTGAGAAGTCAACACAAAAATATTCGTCCTTTAAATTATCTAAAAATCAAATTGGGAACATCTTTATGTGACGTAGAAAATATATGATTTACTTTTGTTCGTTTGCATGTTTACGGACGGAGAATGTTAAAGGAAACAATGTTCTCGTATATATATTACTATGTATATGGTAGTTTCCTAGTGTATGTTGATTTGATTTCCTTTCCTTAGCCTTTGTTTATATTGCATCATTAGAAATAGAAGAGAAATATTTTATCCCATATTGTTACTCTTTCATGGTATTAGAGCCTGAAATCTAAAAATTCTGATTTTGGCCGCTCGGCACTAAGCCATCTGCCGATCATCGCTATTACTTTGTCGAATGTCGCTGCCTCTCTGGGTACCCGCACTTTTCCGTACTCCACTCTGCTACCGCCATGGCCAGTGAACAACCAAAGATCGTTTCGTCTAAGAAGAATGATGATCACAAGAGAGGATGCTCTTTATTGCCAAATTTTGATGATCTAACTCAGGAACATGGGAATGATGTTTGTCATGCTTTTTTCCGATCACCGTCTATTTCTAGTGTGAAACTTGAGGTATTTCGGTATCACCACATTGGATTACAGATATTAATACATCGAATTATATGACATGTGATATTTTGTTATTGCATGATGTGGTGGGTGTGTCACCATGTGAGATTGATTTTCCAAATGGAAAACGAGTTGTTTCTATTCAATTTGGAAAGTTTGAATGTACAAAAACTTTGACCCTGAGGAATGTGTTATATGTTCCCACTTTGAGTTGTCATCTAATCTCTGTGTCA